TCACCACCAAAAAAACCACATCTTTTTCAAAACTCCCCCCTTTTGTGCCCCCTTTAAGCCATTTTTTTTTTTTTTTTTTTTTTTTTTTTTTTCCAAAGGTGGTGGAATCAGAGGCAGGGGGTTAACTCTCATTATTCTGCAGCACATGGTAGAGCCAGCAGTGAAGCTCAAGCAGTTTAGCTCAGAAGTCTGTGCTCTGAGCCTCAAGAGTAGGCATGCAACATAGCCTTCCACTGCTACCTGGGGACTGGGTGCTGGTTGGACAAGATGTGGCAAGCACAGGAACAGCTACACTCTGAATCCAGCTAGTGCCTCAACAGAAGGCTGGGGAGTAAAGTAGGTAGGGTTGTGAGGGTGCAGACTTTGCTCATGTTTAAGCAAACCCTGTGTTCTCCCGTGTGCAGCTGCTGACTCTCAATTGGACTGTTTTTGTTGGAGACACAAGGGGATATGTTTGAAGTAAGAAATCATCTTTGTGGAGCTGTGCAATATCAACAACAAAGACTGAAGCATATACAGCATCGAAGGACTCGGGGTCAGTACAACTTTTTTCTCTTCTTTTTATGTGTGTGTGCTGGGGATCACACCCATGGCCTTGAGCTTGCAGGCAAGCACTCTACCACTGAACTAAGTCCCCAGCAAGGAGTGTCATGTTCTGTTTGTCTCTTCCCCAAAATCTGTATGTTGAAATCATACCCCTCAAGGTGATGGTATTAGGGGGAGAAGTCTTGGAGGGGGGGTAGCCAGTAGGCTTTCTGCCGTTGGACAAAATACCCAAGAAAGCTACCTGAAGAGTACAGGTTTGCACTGCTTCATATTTTCAGGAGTCAGTCCTTGGCTGGCAGGCTCCATGGGCTTCAGGACTCTGGTGAGGCTGACCACCATGGTGGCAGGAACTTGTAGTCCCGGAGGATGTGTGCCTTAAGTGCCAGGAAGAGAGATATAGAAAGACTGAGAAAAAGAAGGTAGAGGAAGAGGAGGAGAAGAGAGAGCCTCCAAAGATATGGCCCCAGTGACCTACTTCCCCCAAGCAGGCTCCATCTTAAAATTTAAAAAAAAAAATCTTAAAAATCTTTGTATTTTATTTACTTTGTGTGGGTGAGCATGTGTCTAGAGGTCAGAGGACAACTTGCAGGAATCATCTCTCTCCTTAATCACACGGATCCTGGGGATGAATCTGGCTTGGTGTAAGGACCATTATCCATTGAGCCATTTCACTGACCCAAGCCCCAACCCTTAAGAACCTATTCAGGCCGGGCGTTGGTGGCACATGCCTTTAATCCCAGCACTCAGGAGGCAGAGGCAGGCGGATCTCTGTGAGTTCGAGGCCAGCCTGGTCTCTAGAGCGAGTGCCAGCATAGGCTCCAAAGCTACAGCAACATTTTAGGGAGTGTGATGGTTCATATTGAAACGATAGTGGGAGATGGCAGGGTTTAGGGTGGGGTCCTTACGGTATGACTGGTGTTCTTATAAAGCAGGTTTGGGGAAGCTCATTGTCCTTTCTATCACGTGCCTCACTTAGCAGTGAGGAACTCTGGTGAGGGATGTCAGCCACCTCCAAAGACTGAGGGTGTCTTGGTCTTGGATTTCATTGCCTTCAGAATTTTGAGAAATTTCTGTTGTTTATAAGCTGCCCAGCCTGAAGTGTTTCATTACAGCAGTCAGAGCAATCAATTGTTTCATTTTATCAACAAGTATCAACCAATTATGGCTCAGGCAAGAGCCATAGAGATGTCACTGACTGTAGATGAGGGAGATGGTCAGAGAACTACAGTCCTGGATGCTAACTACCATAGGTTTTCTTCAAAATATCCAATAATTCAAGGAAGGAAAGGTAATGAGAGGATTGTCGAAACTGGGTGACACATAGAGGGTCAGAGACATTATTTAATATTTATATATTACATTTATAGCAGTCTAAAGTAACAAACAGGTGAGGAGAAAGGAAACAGTGACAAATACATTAAAGTAGAGTCATTCCCTGGAGGAATAAACATTTATAGGTTCTTTAAAAACGATAGCTTTTGGAGTTGGAGAAATGGCTCAGTGGTTAAGAGCATTTACGTCTCTTCCAGAGGACCCAACTTTTGGTTCCCAACACCCTCACAATCATCTGTAACTTCACCTCCATGGGATCTAATGCCTTTGGGTAGGCACCTGCACTCTTGTGCACATACATACACACACAATTTAAAATAAATAAATAAAAAATTTGTTTAACTTCAAATGGACCACCGTCTCACAAAAACTATAGTGTCTGAGAAAAAACAGCCAAGTTTAGAAACAAAACACAGCTTTACTTTTGGGCTCAACACTATCGACCTTGCAGGGTGTTTTAGGTAACTGTATTTTGCTCATAAAAATGGGCCAGTCAGAGAAAAAATACAAAATCTGTTGTTAATGGTATTTATACAACAAAGGAAAGTCCTGTGTTGTATAAATCCGCTTTGCCCGCAAAGAAAAAGCAGACAAGAGTGCACAAGCCCTCTCAAAGCCAACAGGTACTAGTGAGCGATGGCCCAAAGACAATTGAAGATGAAAACAACCCTCCCTAGCGGAGATGTACACCCGAGGGACCTTGAGGAGGAGAGGTTACGCGCCTGCTTCTTCTACCGAAGGGTCTCAGGACTTGGTGGTGGTTTCACAGGACTTTGGAGAAGGCATAACTTAACCTTTCTCTCTTTCCCACATTCCTCTTCTCATAACGTGTTTCGAGGACAGAAAAAGCCTGGAGAGGGACCTCCCTAGCAGCCAGCCTCCGGTTACGAAGCCGTCCGAGTCCTTAGATCTGCACAACAGCGAGCCCGTACTGAAAGAGCAACACAACGTGCGAACTTTATATAAATGTTAATTAACTGCTGTTATTACAGTCACATTCTTGTCTCATATGCTATCATGTTCAACTTACTCCCTCACCTCATGCTTTCTCGTACAATTTTCCTTTTCTTTTTTTTTCGCCCTCAAAGCCACTGCACGTCTCTCCAGACCGGCGCCGCTTTCCTTCAGCACCTCAATCCTCCCGGAATCCAAATGAGCGTGCACTTTCCGGCGCCCGGAAGTGCGTCATCACCGCGCGCCAGTTCCCCGCACGCTGCTCCGGTGCGCCTGAGATTCGTATGCTGAGGACTGGAGTGGCCGGCGATCTGTGTGTGACTGCTTGCCGGGTCCCGGCTGCTCCGCGCCGCGATGCAGGTCTCGAGCCTTAACGAGGTGAAGATTTACAGCCTCAGCTGCGGCAAGTCCCTCCCTGAGGTGAGTCATCCCCTCGTCGCCGCCCCCCCTCTCATTGCCCTAATCATATATCTTTAATTTACCGATGGATGACTGCTGGTTGGTTTTGTCAGCTTGACACAAGCCAGAGTTAACTGAGAGGAGGGAACCTCAGTTGAGGAAATGCCTCCATAAGATCCAGCTGTAGGACATTTTCCTAATTAGTGATTGATGGGGAAGGGCCCAGACCCCTGTGGCTAGTGGTCCTGGGTTCTATAAGAAAGCAAGTTGAGCAAGCCATGAGGAGCAAGCCAGTAAGCAGCTCCCCTCCATGGCCTCTGCATCAGCTCCTGCCTCCTGGATCCTGCCCTGTTTGAGTTCTGACCTGACTTCCTTCAGTGATGGACCGTGTTGTGAAACTGTAGCTGAAATAAATTCGTCCCCAAGTTGCTTCGGTCATCGTGTTTTATCACAGCATGGAAACCTTAAGACAGCTTTGTTCTGCTTGTATTAGGTTCATGTGATAACATGGCATCTAGAAACGATTCTCCATCCTTTAATTGAAACATCATTGCTCAAAATACAGTCAGAACAATATAGTCAAACTCACCACAGAGAGAGAAGGAAAACTCTGGCCCATCCCTTGAGTGTCATCCTGATGCACAGTGCCTCAGTGTGTACTTAATATCTTGAGAGGTGAGTCTGCATGACCAGAGACTCCTAAAGATTATTCTGCCATGTCTACTGAGAATAGTATATTGGCTTTGCCCTTTTAGAAGTGACATATGTAGCCAGGAAGTGGTGGTACACGCTGTTAATCCCAGCACTTGGGAGGCAGAGGCAGGCGGGTCTCTGTGAGTTCCAGGACAGCCAGAACTGTTACACAGAGAAACCATGTCTCAGAAAACAAAAACAAAAAAAATAGCATATATTTATTTTTTTCATTTCTTTGAGGCTCTTAACTTTGAATTTATTAACATTTTGAGCTGGACAATTCCCTGTTGCTGGTGTTGTCTTTTATAGGTTGTTTGCCAGCATCCCTGGCTCATACCCACTAGATACCAGGGTTACACCTACAGTTGTGGTGACAAACTAAATCTTCAAGGATTGCCATAAGCCCTCTGGGGAGCAAAATTGCCCCAGTAGAAACCCATTCACTCAATGTCACTGTAATTGATAAGAGCTTCATCATTGCTGTTCACCCAACTGCTACTCCTAGAACAAAATCTACTTTCAATGAATACGTGAATAAAAACATCACTTCTTATCAAGGGTCAGCTATCAGGCCAGTCATGTATCTGTTCTTAGTCTTTGTAACAAATAGATTTCAGTTGGCACATGATCACATTTATAATCCCAGTGTGTGGGGTGTGTTTTAAAGCACAGCATCTGTTTTTTCCTAGTGGCTTTCTGACAGGAAGAAGAGAGCACTGCAGAAGAAGGATGTCGGTGAGTATTCATGGCGCTTCTGTTCCAGCTGTTAGAGGCCCGAGTGACAGTGTCCTCAGCTGTCTGGCTTCCCGAAGTGGGGTGTGGGAATAAGTTTTTTGACCTTCTCTCTTGGATGTTATTGTCTGTCTGATGCTGTGTAACTTAGTTTCACCTCCCTTCCAAGCTAACGAGTTAGCCTCTCCCAGTTTCATGGATGGCATCAAGGCTCCTGGGTCAGAAACACAGACTTCAGTACTCACAACACCGCACAGATGGCACAGCCATCAGAATGTTTGTCCCAGTTTCCCCTTGTGCCCCTTGAGAGGGCTTCAGCTTGGCTTAGAGGAGGCATGCACTCAGTGAGGAGGAGCCCAGATGTGGGAAGACCACTGCTTTGCTAGCAGCCAGTAAACAGGCCTGCCCTTCTGTCAAAGTTGTCAGCTTCCAGTAACCCCGAGACATGGCTGTGGTAAAAGTGGCTAGACTCTTGCAGGACTGCCACACTAAGCAAGGTGCACAGGAACACAAGAGGCCCAAGGAGGACTGTCTTTCCCAACAGTTCCGTAACTGCTTTGTTCCTAGTGTGTCAGAGTCTTTATCTGTTAGTTGAATCTCTCAGTTTTGCAATAGAGATGATAAACATTTTTTTTTTTGTAAATAAAAGAACTTCACATATAAAATGTCTGAGTGTAAACATTGAGATTGTTTGTAACTTAACTGACTTTGATCACTTTATTTCCACTACATGTTTTCCAGTTCAGGTGCCATAGATGAGAGGAAACTTATCTTCCTGTAGATTTCACTTAACCGAATCTCTAAAAATTGAGCATGGGGAGGTTTCTGGCTGTGAGATTGAGATCTTTTGGCAAGTTTCTTGGAAAAATGGGCCTTATATAGTACTAAAGTCGGTTGAAAATGAGACTTTTAACTCAGGAAGAAACAAAGACTGTTCAGAGCTTACAGATTTGGATTTTATCTGACCTCCCTCTCTTCCAGTGTGCTCTTGTGTAACATAATGGATTCAGATTATTTATGGGAAGGAACTGTTTTCTGACCTGCTCAGGACTAGTAGGTGTCTAGCAATGCAGTGCCAGGCATGCTATCTACCACAGAGCCACACCCCCTCAGGCCTTCTTCCAGTCCTAATATTTAGGTTTCATAAACAAAGCATAAGCTTGTCATAGATAAGCAGTCTTCACAGTAGTCATGTTCATATAGCAACCAGTCAGAATTCTTACGCTGGTAGGAAAGATGTGTTTTTTTTTTTTTTTTTTTCTTTTGAGAGTGGGTGTTAGTACTGTGACCCACAGAGGCTATGCGAGGCCTTCCCTTAGCCTGGTCACTCTTCACCAATGAGGGTAGGAGCACACAGGTGAGCATCACCCCAGGCTCTATGCTGATTTCTTTTCTTTCTTTCTTTTTTTCTTTTTTCTTTTTTGTTGTTGTTGTTTGAGACAGGTTTCTCTGTGTAACAGCCTGGGCTGTCCTGGAACTCACTTTGTAGATCAGGCTGGCCTCGAACTCACAGAAGTCTGCCTGCCTCTGTCTCCCAAGTGGTGGGACTAAAAGCACGTACTATCATGCCCATCTTTCCATGCTAATTTCTTACACAAGCTTAAGATTTTGAAGACTTAAGCCCAGGAAACACTGATTTTTGTTTCTGTAGTGACTGATGGTTTAGTGTGTCCTCTGTCCCTCTTTGACCTCATCTTAAAGCTGTGCCTGATTATTATTGTGGGCCTTTCCTTTCCAGTTAAAGAAGATTCCCTTTCTTTCTAAAAAAATGAAAGAAATATATAATTTTCTATTTTTCCGTACCTGAGGCAAACAATTCAAAACATGGAAAGGTTTTGGAGCTTTTCTGTGCATGTGCCACCGGTTTTGTTGCTTTGGGGCCTGTGGTGGGAGCTCCTGGTGGAAGGGACTGTTCACTAAACAGGAAACGAGGAGATGAAACAAACAAGTGTCTGATAGTCTCCTTTTCGGGCATGACTCCAGCGGCCTAAGACCTCACTGGGCTCCATGGCTCAAAAGTTTTACCACCTCCCAATTAAACCATGAGCCCAGGAACCAGACCCTGGGACAGAGGCCTTTGGGGGCATTTCAGATTCAAACTGTTAACAGGAAGGAGCTAAGGAGAAAGCTGGGTGGGTGTGATGGGTTAATTCTCAGGGTTGGGAGTCTTTGGGTTGTAATTGCCTCTCCGGCATGCTCTGTCCTCCCTTGATTCCCATGCTGAACTAGTTTTCCCTGCTTCTCTCTTTGTAGATGTTCGTAGGAGAATTGAACTTATTCAGGACTTTGAAATGCCCACTGTGTGTACCACTATCAAGGTGTCAAAAGATGGACAGTACATTTTAGCAACAGGTAAGCTTCTTTGTGGTTATGGTCTGCTTGTGCTTCATCCATTACAGGATGTGCTCTAGTAGGAGGGGTTTTACCCCAGTATTTCCTTACAAACATTTTCAGACACACACAAATAAATGCTCAAGGGAATTAAATGACCACCTGTTTACCTTCGACCTAAATTCTGCCATGGATAGTTTACTGTGTTTATCTGTCAATAAGTATATATTTTTTTAAATGAGTTTTCAAAGTAGGTCACAGATAGATAGCAGCTTTGCCTTTTTTGTTTGTTTCATTTTGTTTGTTTGTTTTTCAAGATAGGATTTCTCTGTGTAGCTTTGGAGTCTGTCCTGGAACTCACTTCATAGACCATGCTCGTCTTAAACACACAGAGATCCGCCTGTCTCTGCCTCCCGAGAGGGAATGTGCCACCATTGCCCGACTAAAGGTTTAATTGCTTTTAATTTAAAGAGCTATATACACAACTAGTGACTGTCGTGGGACAGTGTGGTTGGTTGCAGAATCCTTCTTGGTGCCTCCCCTCTGGACCTCTCCTGGGAACTCATAGAGGAAGTGGACTTCTGTCTGCTTGCTTTAGTAGCGCTAGTCCTTCCATCTCTGGCTCTGCCACTGTCTTCAACTTTGTCACTCTCCTAGGACTTGTGGCTAAAATAAGTAGGATAAAATTTGTTCTTGAAGATGTAGAAATATAAAGGAAAAACAAACACAGCAGGAGCAAAGGCCCTGCATGTGTTAATAGCTTTTCCTAATGCCTGTCACATACACACACACACACACACCATGGGCTCAAAGACTTGTGCTTTTCTGCTCTGCAAGGGATTGCTGCTGCTTTGGGAAGCAGGATGTCTTCTCTGGCCTAGAGCTTGTGCTTCTGCCTCAGCCTCCTATTTGCTGGGATAATGGGCATACATCACTGTGCTAGGTACATTTTAGAATTTTATTTTTTAAATGAAATCCTAGGTTTTGATGCATGCTAGAAAACAGGATTTCCCCCCCCCCCCCCCCCCCTAATGTCCTACTTTGCTTTTAAGAATTGATCTTTGTTTTTTCTCATTGCAAGCATGGTAC